ACTTCGTTTAGATTTCTCCCGTTAATGGATATCAGTGTTTGTTGTTGTTGGTTAGGTATCTTCATCATATCTGTCTTCTCTACGTCCACTTGAAGACCCGTCTTCGCTGCCTCTTCTGTCAACTTATTAGTTATCACCTGTAGATCTTCGAGTTTGTGCGATATTCGACACAAATCATAGGTGAAATCCAAATCTTCTTGTGGGGTCTTTCCATTGTTTCAGCCTGTTTATGCCCCCCTTTTCTTTTGCTGCACGATCCAGTCCACCACAATCAGGAAGAATTCATTTACTAGGGACCACTATTATTCGTATCAGTTTAGGCATAAGATTCAATAAATCAATAAAAATTCTAAGAAAGGATAATCCGCACTGAAAGACGAAACTACAAAGGAGATTTTCATGTTAATCATCAGGAAAAAAATGGGAGACATTAAACAACATCCTTGAATCGAAATCTATATGAAGTTGGAAAAAAATAATAAAGTTAATAATCGACTGAACAGAATATTATTAATTTGTCAATCTCCCATATACAAATTGGTGAAATGGTTAACCGAAATACTGAGCCTGATTCATAATTTATGATTTATGTATTGATTGAAAGATATGTTTGAAGTTGTTAATTGTCTAACTGATCTGAGTATCAGACACATGAACATGAACTGTGTCGATGTCAACTGTTTATTCACTAATATATCCCTAATGAAGACAGTTAATATTCTTTAAGATTATAAATTCTTGAATTATCCTTCTTTCCCCCTATTTCTCCAATAAATTGGAAAAGGCTACCTATATTATATACTGAAAAGGTTAATTTCATAATCGAAGGTGAATATTTTCAACAAATTGATGGTATTACTATGGGGAGTCTATTAGGACAGTTATTAGTAGACTATATGCCGTATATCGAACTAATGGCTAAGGATTTAATCAATAATTTCACATTCCATAGAAGATATGTTGATGATACTTTTGTAATATGTGACACAGATGAAATAATACTGGGAGACGTGTTAAAAGGGCCTTATACCAAACAAGAAGAGGACTATTGACTTATATTTCATAATATACTGTTGTGTTAGAGAGAAGACGGAGCCATCAGACGATCAGTCTATAAAAAGCTTAATTGAATAAGATAATACTTGAGTTTTTACAGGTTTTGTTCAATGAAGTATATAAGACAGGCTTAATAAGATGCTTACTGAGTAGAATCCAACTTATTTGTACATCTGATACAATGGATAATGAGAGCAAATTTCTAATAGGCATACTTCTAGAAAAGAGGATATTCATTACAGTTTTTGAACAATTGTAGAAAACAGCTAACATTGAAGCCTATAATTCCCTCAATCCTGAAGAAGGATATGTTTTTTAAAGTAGTATACAGTGGAGAAACGAGTAGTATAGTATTGAAGCAGAGATTAAAATCTGTTATCAGTAAAACATACTACACAGCCTAACTTACCATTGTTAAGATAAGATAAGATAGCTTCACTACAAACCTTAACTTCATATCCCAATGTGTTTACTAATTCATATGTATATTTGGGCATATACACATAGGATGGAGTAATCGTATTACGCAGACTTGAATAGGTAAACATACAAAGTTTGATAAATAAAGATGATAGACATCCATCTTCATCCATAGCAAAGCATATCATTGAAATAAATCATAAGGGTGAATATGAGAACAGGATTCAAGATATTATATAAGAACAGTCAGGGGAGTATCATAAAATTTATCGAAGCGTTAACCATTCGTTAAGTTCAGACTTCATTGTGTATACAAAAAACAATTTATTGTTTCTTCAAGTTGATACTCATCATGAAGTGACATCAGTTGGAAGAACAATGGAAATTTGGAAGCACTGGATATTTGTTTCGTCCTAGTATGGGACTCCTCAGCAGTGTGTACTCATGACTACCCTGCCAGGGATCGTAACTGAGGGTGTAGAATGAAATCACTTTATATACTGATACTTGTAACCTGCCCCGGTGTTATTCCAGATCTAATTGAACGACTTCTCTTACTATATAAGCTCTTATTTAGATGTTAATGACGGATCGTGGCTATCAGTGGAATCCAGGATGCGCATTTCGTTCTATTTGGGACTCGTCAGTTGGATGTACCTGCTTCCCAGTGAGTCATGTTGTTCCCATCGGGATTCGGACTCGGGAGCAATCGCTTCAAACACCAACGCGTTATCCACTACACCACAGAGTCACGATAGCCACTTCTTATGCGACGGGTATAGTTTTTAATGTAATTGTTTTTATATGATACCATCGTTGATTGGAGTGAATTGATAGGTCTCCTTTAGCATATATGAGCTCCTGTACGGATGCCTCGATATTGTCAGCGTTCTAATTATGTTAATGATGTTAGCTATCTTGATACTGTTTATTTATCGAAAATGTTATAATTTACTTATTGATGGCTAACAGTGGAATGTATGATGCATGTTTCGTCATTGCATGGAATTTGATAGATTAGATTATTTTACTGAATTGGTTCTATCGAATCCTTAAGCCAATCGATAAATCTTATCTCTTAGTGACTTTGTACGTTTAAATGCCACCCTAATTCCAGCGTTGTTTAGGATACTACGTAAAGTTTTTAATATACCTTCTGTAAACAGTAATACAATGGAGATTGTCGACCGACTCCTTTCTACTCATGTTGTTGTTATTATTTCATTTCTTATGGGCTCATACGAATTTCTTAATAAACGGTAGAGGATAATTATTAGTTAATAATGTTTCTCTGATGTGTTTCAATTCCTTGTTTAAATCACCATAATGACTGGTAAGTTTCTACCTTCAGTATTTATACATCTGACTATAGGTGCCTTAATTGATATTGGATGAGATGATCTGAAGTCTAGATACCTGTTAGAATGCATCGATTTCCTATAGAGAATAGTATTTAAACCAGAGTCTGTTTTTGGTTTTACCCTGCAGTCCAACATAGGATAATTCTTCTTGTTTATTTCCTACCTCGTAAGTGAATTGGATTACGCCTACTACTGAGTTTATGTGTGTGAGGAAATTGTCAATATGTTCCGATTTCAATACGGTCAACATGTCATCCAAATATCTCCATGATATCTTAGGTATAGGATTATACTTTCGTAAAGTCATGTTTTCCCAAATATCCATAAATATATATCTTGTACTATTGGGGATAATGGTGATCCCATTGCTACCCCTTCAGTTTGCTTATATAGTTTTTCCTGAAACTTCAAGTTACATTCACCCAGAGATAAAATTTTTTTGGCTGGCTTAAGGATCCGATAGATTGAATCAAGAAAAATTGTCTAATCTATCAAATTCGATGTAATGACTGTGAAGTCAAGTACATAGGTGAAACTAGACAGTTGGGGATGTGTCAGAATAGCCGGACATAGGAATTTAGCTAAATATAAAAAACCAACTTGTACCGGTCAGTTCACTAACTTTTATAGTTGGGTACCTCTTGGTTGTAAGAGAAATCTCATTCACTCACTGTGTTCTAGAATCTATGGAATATGTTCAGAAGATAAGGTGGATGCTGAAATCGAAACTCTTAGAATAATACTATCTAATAAAGGATACCTTAAAAGATTTATTGATAAGAATCTGAAGAAACGAACCACTCCCCATCCCATCACAGTCCCCAAGAAAATCTTAACCATGAATCTAGAATTCAAAGGAGGCACCATAGCCGAAGTGCTGAAAAATCGTCTGTCAAGATGTATCAATAGTAGCTTCTATGCTGCTTAGACTGAGATTGATATTCTCCATCCGCCGTCTGATTCGTCAATGCGTGAAGGATAGGCTTTTACTTATGTCCACATCTATGTGTGTATCTACAGGTTCACATGCTCCTGTGGACGTTGTAACCGGGCCCTCCGAAAACGTGTTGCTGAACACTACCCGGTTTGGCTTACCAGAGGCGAGCAAAGGAAAACGACTTCATGCATATGTGAATTGGGACACTTAGCACCTCGAGATTCATCCTTTAAAATAATTTACAAAGTTAAATTGAACTACTCCAAAGGTTTACGTTTTCACCACTTATGCATAGCTGAAGCATTAGCTATACATCAACAAAAACCGAAACTTTGCATTCAAAAACATTTTGTGAAACCACACTTTCTATACCTTGGCCTTAACAATTCATTTAGTTGATTTTGTCAATTTTCAGTTCACTTTGGTATACTTCTCTTTCGTATTATCATCAATATCACCAATTTTCACTACATTGACAACATTTGAACCATATTTCCCTTTTGAATATCAATTCAGCCCTCCTTATTCACTGACCTATTTTACACGTTTCAGTTTAATTATCACCACTTTACAATTCTTCAACAGAACTTGTCGCTTATCTTACCACTTGTTATCAATTCTTTCCTCCTTATTCAGTGACCCACTTTCTATCTCATCCACTTGAACAAATACCACCACCCCTCCACTGATTGTATATTTTGCATATTGACTGAGCAAGTCTCTTTTTAGTGCAATTATCTGTCACTTTACTGAGTATAAATATCACTGTACAACTTGATAATCAAGTCGTTGAAAAGAAATGCTTCTTCTTCGCTGATACATGCCTTGTTCTTGTTAATTAAATATAGAACGGCAGACTTGAATGAGATCAGTAATGTAATGCATGCTTAAAGACACACATATAAAAACGGGTGGGATGAAATCATTGTATTGAAGTTAGATACAATTAAATGGAGAGACAGAGAATGACTGATTATTGATTCCTTGATCATCGAATCTATCTAGGAATGATGTAACACTTCCATACCAGAGATATACAAAAATTTCACTATCAAACAAGACAAGGAATATGAGGTGATAGGACTATAAAAATCAGCTATCGATTATAGAGTATGATTACACATTGGATATGATTATGAGTAAGATAATAATTTATGCTTGAAACATTGTCAAGTAAACTAGTGTTAATCAACAGAAATATGAAAAAACAAAAAAAATTTACTTACCTACGAACATAAGGATGTTTTAATGCATCAAGTGCTGTGATACGTTTATATGGATTGAAATGTAACATTCTATACATTAATCAATTGCTGTCTTATCAACATTCATAAGTAATTGGTCTAATGAACGACGATTTCTTATTGACGACATTTGATAAATTAAAACAAAATAAAAATTAACAAAGCTATTTAAAGGAAAAGATAAACTTCACTAAGATAGAAAACGCATAATCAATATTTAAATAATCACCAATAATATTATATAATGATTGAAGTATACAACGATTTGAAATGTCGACCAAGAAGTAATTTGGTAAGCAGATGCTTCAACACTACTGTTTCAATGCCACAAATCTTTATCAACCTCATTCAACAGCTATATGCTATGCTATATGAAGCTATATGTCAAGTGATCCACAATGGAAAGCTCAGTGATGTCTTTGAAGTGAAGACCGATAGGAGTAAGACAAGGCTGCCATCTACTATCACCCATGATCTTCCTGATTGTGGTGGACTGGATCATGTAGCAAACCGTGAGGAGTGAGAAGATGGGCATAAGCAGGCTTGACCGATGAAAGAAGCCTCGATTATATGGATTTCGCTGATGATGATTTATGTCCAATATCACACAGACTCGAAGATCTAGAGGCGAAAACTAACAAGTTGACAGAAGAGGCAGGGCAGAGAAGACGAGACTTCAGGTGAACGTAGAGAAGACGGAGGTGATGAAGATCTTCAACCAATAACAACAACAATAAGGACTGATCCCCATCAACTGGAAAAATCTAAAGGAAATTGTTTGTTTCACCTACGTAGGCAAGGTAGCATCGTTTCAATTATAGCCGGCGGCGGCACAGACAAGGATATCCAAGTCAGGATAGGAAAGACAGCAAGATAGGCTTTCATCGGGCTGAAATCAGTACGGAGATCTACTGCGCTGCACTCCACTCAGCATAAAAAAAATACCCGGATTTTCAACATTAATATCACTCAAGTCAGTCAGTGCTTCTTTGTGATAGTTGAGAGACTTGGCGCATCACGAAAAGCATTTCCAACAAACTAGAGATATACATCGTCAACAACTGCTCCTCACGCCCACTCGATACTGAAGATCAGATGGCCAGAACAATAAGAATAAGCAACAAGGAACTCACTCTGCCAACGAACCAACGAAGCAAGAACCTATCGTCCAACAAATATGCAGTGGAAGAAAGTGGAGATGTATTGGGCATACACTGAGAAGGCCGAATGGGGACATCACGCACCATGCCAGGCACTCGAGTGCAATCCAAAGGGGAAACGACGAGTTGGAGATTCCAGCTGTTGATGACATGGAGGAGATCATGTGAGGAAGAAATGAAAGCTTGTGGGGAGTGGTGGAGCCAGGTTGAAACGATTGCAGAGAACAAAGTGGAACCCACGGGAAAAATAATAATAGTAGTAATAATGATTTGAAATAAGCGCGGAAATATCGAAAAGCAGATTTCAAGCTCACCAGAAGACTTGACCATGATATGTTTAATCCTTAACCGCATCAATTATAGTTGTGAGTTGATGATAAGTTGCATACTGGGACAAAACGTCTATTCAATACTCATGGATGTTGACATGAAGGAGACTGGGTGAGACATAAATTTTGTTTGCTGAAATCATCTAAACATTATATGCAACTCTGGGAAGTCTGAAAATGATTCCTTAATCTTAATTTGCATTTTCAAATCCAGTCCATTCTCAAATTTACTTGTTAACTAACAGCGAAACTCAGAAGGCATGATTCGTCCCATTTAAGACTCATCGTCCGTATAATCTTGTACTCTAGCGAGTGACTTTGTCCCCATTGAGATTCTAACCCCACACCTATCACAGTAAAAAGCAAAGCATCATCTACTCAGTTATAAAAGCACACGAAGGATCTCTTGTACAACAGATAGTTAACCTGACAATCATAAAACTTTTGATCACATTTTCTATCTTTCAGCTTTCACCACCTTTTATTGACAAAGTACTATACGGTTACACAGTATTACTGAGTTATACATAACAAATGGCTAATTGATAAAAGTATCCAATCGGGAATTGAATTTATGATTCCACAAGTGATCAGTTACTGATGAAACTACCGGTAGGAGAATCGATTTATCACCTTGGTTGTAGTGTAATAGGATGATAACTGAGACAGAAAGAAAGAACTAGTGACCTGAGTATTCCAATGCTGGTGATCTGATCACTGTGTGAAGTCATTCACTTCCTCACTACCTTCCACTCTGATGTCAACCAATCCTTCAATCATCCATTGCCTTGTATCAATAATACAACTTTATCAAACCACAATGATCTCATATAATCTCATGAATGATAAGTGACTGTTCAATTTGTAAATTCTATCAGGATCACGTCATTCAACTATGCATAATTCAACGACATGGTCCTGATAGAATTTACAAATTGAACAGTCACTTATCATTCATGAGATTATATGAGATCATTGTGGTTTGATAAAGTTGTATTATTGATACAAGGCAATGGATGATTGAAGGATTGGTTGACATCAGAGTGGAAGGTAGTGAGGAAGTGAATGACTTCACACAGTGATCAGATCACCAGCATTGGAATACTCAGGTCACTAGTTCTTTCTTTCTGTCTCAGTTATCATCCTATTACACTAAGACCAGCCTAATAAACCTGATATCAGTACTTTATCAGTTATAGTTAGTTAGTCGAAGATGGAAGATAGAAAAAGTGATCGAAAGTGGTAGAATTTATTTGCGAATTAAGAAGATATAGAGGAAGTAATAAAGTACTATATAATAATTAGCATGAAGATGATGTATGAACGTATCTGTGTCACTGAGATCGATGCTGATCTATATCGCCTATAATCTCCAAAGAACAGAAATACCATGACATGATAAACTGATTACTTGAAATGTGACTGTTCTTTATCTAATGATGGATATCACGCTGGTTTATCGTCTCTCAATCCTACATACTCAACTGTTTAAAACTGAATCTAATTTTCCGTTTTAGTAGTTTTTATGGAGAAAATAACCGACTTATGTTTGGTATTGCCAGTCAACCCTCTACGTCAACTTCATCAACTTTGAAAAGACCCTTGACAGTGTCTACCGGGAAGCAATTTGGCAGTTGCTTCAACAATACGGAATACCGCAAACCTTTATCAGCCTCATTCAACTATATGAAGAAGCCACATGCCAAGTAATTCACAATGGGAAGCTCAGTCATGCTTTTGAAGTGAAGACAGGAGTAAAACAAGGCTGCCTACTATCACCCATGATATTCCTGATGGTGGTGGACTAAATCATGCAACAAACAATGAGGAGCGAGAAGAGGCGGATACGCGGAAACGAACCTAGAAGACTTAGATTTCGCCAACGATGACTTGTGTCTTATGTCTTGTTGCACAAACTTGAAGATCTACAAGCGAAAACTAACAAGTTGATAGAAGAGGTGAGACAGCGAAGACGGGACTTCAAGTGAATGTAGAGAAGACAAAGGTGATGATGATACCTAACAAACAACAACAACAAAGATCGATCACCATCAATGGGAGAAACTTAAAGGAAGTAGCCTCCTTCACCTACCAACCAGGCAGCATCGTCTCAACTACAGGCGGCACAGACGAAAACGTCAAAGCCAGCCAGCATCGAAAAGACAGTATGACAGGCTTTCATCAATCTGAAATCAGTGTGGAGATCTAATGCACTGCACTCAGCATAAAGTGTGAACAACATCCGGATTTTCAACACCAATGCCAGTCAAGTCAGTGCTTCTGTATGTCTCAGAGACTTGGTGCGTTACGAAAAGCATTTCCAACAAACTACAGACATTCATCAACAACTGCCTACACTCGTTACTGGAGCTCAGATGACATTAAACAAATGACATTTAGCAAAGTGTTACTCTTTTCATTGAGAACATTCTCAAGCTGCACAATCGCACATACATATCCTATTCACATGGAATAATAAAAAAAGATCTTTTTCATGGAATATTTTGAACAAATTTCTGGGAAGAATTGAGGAACAACAAGCAGATTATAATAGGGTGCGTCCTGACAAAACGACGCGTATTGTTTTGATGAATGGTCAAGAACATACACAGAAACTGTCATCTATCCTGTCAGATGAAACACAATTTGTAAAAACTCACTAGGGAGAAGAATAAGATGGAGTAAACTAAAAAACAACTAACGGACCAATTCTGAATTATTTAAATCTCTACAACCACCCGAGTCAAGTATCCGCCTAGTGTACGAACCTATTCCTCGATATGACTGGGTCGCCTTATCACCGTATTGGTTAGAGGTTAGTCAAAATCTTGGAGCGCATCAGAAAGCAAGTCTCACTTTATACAATAAGTGTCTCTTTTGATCTTGTCAATTTTATTTACAATATAAATTGCTGTGACAAAATAATGTTCTCCATAGATTTGTCTTCCGTCGACTCGAGCACGCAACAAACAGTGAGGAGCGAGAAGAGGGGCATACGCCACCTGGACCGGGGAAAAGAACCTAGAAGATTTCGATTTCATCGATGAGTTGCGTCTGATGTCACACAAACCTGAAGATCTACAGGTAAAATCCAACAAGTTGGCAGAAGAGATGAGGTAGTGAAGACGGAACTTCAAGTGAACGTAGAGAAGACAGAGGTGATGATGATACCCAACCAACACCACGAACAACAGAAAGCTCCAGTCACCATCAACGGGAGAAACTTAAAGGAAGTAGCCTCCTTCACATATCTAGGCAACACTGTTTCAACTACAGGTGGCACAGGCACAGACGAGGAAGTCAAAGTCAGAATCGGAAAAGCAAGACAGGCGTTCATTAACCTGAAACCAATGTGGAGATCTTCTGCACCGAACTCAGCATAAAGTGTGAACAACATCCGGATTTTCAACACCAACGTCAGTCAAGTCAGTGCTTCTGTATGCCTTAGAGACTTGGTGCGTAACGAAAAGCATTTCCAACAAACTACAAATATTCATCAACATCTGCCACCTACCCTGGTTCCTTACTGAACATCGGATGACCAGAATAACAAGAGTAAGCAACAAGCAACTCTGCCTGGCTGGCTGCCTTGCAACGAACCAACGAAGCAAGAATCTATCACTCAACAAATATGCAGTGGAAGAAAGTGGAGATGGATTGGGTGTATACGGAGAAGGCCGAATGGGGGCATCAAGCGTCAGGCCAGGCACTGGAGTGGAACCCGCATGGGAAGCGACGAGTTGTGCGTCTCAGCTGAGGGTGACATGGAGGAGATTGTGTGAGGAAGAAATGAGTGGTTGTTGGATGTCGTGGAGTCAGGTTGAAAAGATTTCAGAGAACAGAGCGCTTTGTGGACGTGCTACTGAAGCTGTATGTTCCATTAGGAACCCAAGGGACTAGTAATAATAATAATAATAGATTTGGCTTCATTATTTACAAGCATCCCAATGACTGAGATAATATGTTACATATGTGACTATATAGATTCTAATCGATGAATGTTGGGATATATAGAGATTATCTGAAGGAGCTTTTGTTGAGATGTACACTAAATATCCAGTTTTTCTTCAGTAATGCAATATACAATCAAAAAGATGGCGCAACTATGGATTCATCATTGGGTCCCTTGCTTGCAGACTTCTCCATGTCAAAGCTGGATAACAGACATCTAAGCAGACTGATCAACCTGTTCGAACTTTATAAGCAATACGTAGATGATATTTTCATCATCTCTAGATAATCAAGAAGATATCCTGTCTCAGTTTAATAGCTAGAGTACCCTTCAATGAGGTTTACATTAGAGAAGGAACTGAATTCTAAAATATCCTTTTTAGATATCCAGCTTGGAAGGTCTCTCCATTGAAACCCTACATGGGATGGATCGGGTGCTTCTATACACCAAACGATATCTAATTCACTCTATATGCCACAATCTGTAGTCCTGGAAGATTAACTTAATTTTTTTTCAAAAATGTTTTGATTGAAAACCAGTATCCTAATGGTTTCATTGCTAATAGTATAAAACTGAAAGCAAATCACTATTTCATTTATACAACTCCTAAGAAGCCTGTTTTCATGAACTTACAATTCAATGGAGACACATCAGCAGATACATTAAGAAAGTACATGGGGATGTTCATTGAAAAAGACTCTGTATGCTGTTAAACTCAGATTAACTTTCTCCACTTACCCAATGCTTCAACTATGTGTAAAGGATAGGCAAGTCAGCTTGACTACTTCGATGTAGGCTTAGCAATTGACCTGCTCCTGTGAAGTGACATGTATTGACTATACTCAATGTTCACTTTTCGAGCATATACCAGCCTGGTTCCATAAAAGAGAAAGGAAGACACTTCATAACATTTGATCAATTGTGATCAGCCCCGGGGTAAACACAGAAAACAACTTCAATATCATCTAGGGTGTTCATGAAAATCTCATGAATATGTGTGTACGCCTAAAACTTCTTCAAACTGTGGAAGCCATGGCAACTAATACTCTGACGCATAAACTCTACGTTCTCAAAAGAAATTCATCTAGTCACTTAAGTTACAATCGATAAAACCTATAAGAACATTTTTTATCTTTAAAAATCTTTTCATTAAGATCTTCTTACATATTACATTCCTTCAATCCCAGAATTCTAACTTCACTTTATGTTCACTTTGTTACATCATTTAACTTAGTAACTAAATATTAGTTCAAAACAATTAGTTCCCTTTATAAACTTCGACAAAACAATAAGAAGAGGACAAATACTCAACGATGACATTGGGTGGCGGTTGTGCTATATATCGTGAGCTAACAGAAGTTGGAAATATGGAGCATTGGATTGTGACCCAGTAGCTCAATGGTAACGCGCTGGTCGCGGGTTCGATCCCTGCTGGTGGGGTCGTGGGTGCGCACTGCTCAGGAGTCCCATACTAGGACGAAACAGCTGTCCAGTGCTCCCAGGTTTCCTTTGTTCCTCCAACTGATGTCAGTCTTCGATGAATAACAACCTGAGATATTTCTAAATCTCCACAACTCCCTCAAAAGTTAATTTATATATACTATTGTACAGTATAAGAATGATCTCAATGAAAAGAATGACTCTTCGCCAAACATTTTTTTTCGGTTTTATGACTTGAATAAAGATTTTTTAAACTACTGATATATGAAAATGTACTATTTAATAAATATTCAATGATAAGACTATTTTACTAATAAATATTTAATGAAAAAGTATTTTTTTTTGTTTTAAATGTTACGGATTTTTCAATTACCGAATACGCGCCTTTTGTAAAATTGATGAACTGTAAGGACTCTTTACACTGGCCAAATCTAAAGAAAAAAAATTATTAAACAGAGTTATTAAATATTTAAAAATTGATAAGAAATGATTTTGTTATTCACTATGAAGAATTATTTCATCATCAATTAAAAAATAAATATAATTCGTACTAGGAATCGAACTCAAGACCTTTATGTTTCACGGCGAATGTGTTAGCTATTCAACCAGTCGATCGGTTCCCAGTGGTTCATAATTTTCAACTTCTGTCAATTCACAACATAGCACGACTATCATTCAAGGTCTTCAGTTAGCATTCACTTCCCTTCCGACGGGTTGACCCCACAGGTAACAGCTTCTCATTACATCTTCCTGATATCCATCTGGAAGCAGGTCACTAATAAGCACTATATAGTAATGTAATTTTAAGATGAATGGGGACATTTTAATTTAGAAGTAGTATTCATCATGAACTGATGTCAGTTAAAGGAATATTGGAAACCTGAGAGCACTGGATAGCTGTTTCTTCCCACTAGTATGGGACTTCTCAGCAGTATACAACCACTACTCCACCCTACCAGGGATCGAACCCGTGACCTTCAGGTTCCGTGGTCAGCACGTTAGCGCTGAACCGCTGTGTCGGAATCTGATTATTTATATTTCCAATTTCTGTCACTTCATGACATAACGCGATCATCACCGAATATTATCGTTGAGTATTTTTCCTCATGGCCATCAGGTTTGCACCACCGGTGACAACTTCTGAATGGAACTTGAGAAATCACCTCTCGAAGCTAGTCAGTTACCAATGAGTAGTAGATCAATTGAATTTGGTGGTTTGTGAAGATTTTTTTGATTTTCCAAGTTGATAAATACCAACTTGAGAAGTGAGATATATCGCAATGAAAAAAATGTTAACATTTCAGGTGAAACTATGATGTATCACTTCATAGTTACATACCGAATTTCATTTTAAACTCTCGTAAGTGTACTTCAAGTCAATATCAAACACGTAGATTATTTTTTAATTCATCTTCTAGCTAATATCAATATACAAGTGAATTGTAATGAATTATTTCGTCAGTGAACTATAGATGATCTAGAAGTACGATTCATCATGGACTGACGTCGGTTGGGGAACCATTGTAAATCTGAGAGCACTGGACAGCTGTCTCATCCTAGTATGCCACTTCTCAGCCATACGCACCCACCACCCAGCTACGGATCCAACTCAGGACCTTCAGGGTTCACAGCGAACACGTTAATCATTCAGCCAGTCGATTGGTTCTCAGTGGTTTACAATTTCCTACTTCTCTCAATTCACAACATAGCGCAACCATCACCTAAGGTCTTCAGTTAGCATTCACTTCACTTCTGACTGGTTGAACCTACAGGTCACAGCTTCCCATTAAAGCTTCCTGATATCCATCTGCAAGTTCCTGAATTCGATCCCTAGGCGAGTCATGGATGCGTACTCCTGGGGAGTCCCATACTACGACGAAACAGCTATCCAGTGCTCCCAGATTTTCAATGCTTTCCCAACTCACGTCAGTCCATGATGAATACTACTTCTAAATTCGTACACTGATTTAATGAAAACTTGTTCATCTGAGAGTTTATAAACAGACTATCTTTTCGGGATAATTTAACTTTTTAAGCAAGTTATACGGTAAGACAATTCTATTACCAGTCGGTGTAGACCAGCACTGATGTATTATGGTGTATTTTACAGATGTAAAAAGTATATCAAACACTCAGACTTCTGTATATGATGTTCACAAGTGTCTTTATTTTATCAGCTCTTTCAATCCCATTCAGAGAATAAGTCAATATTTACAAAAATAGAAGCAGTTTTGGTTATGTCTATTAGTAAGCACTAAACAAGATGAAAAAGGATCGGTTATAGTGGGCATCCCTGGTCATCATCAATATCAACATATGACCAGGCATTACTACGTAACGCTCCCAGTTGCCACACCTCATATCACTACATCAAGTGAAAAGGCAATGAAGTACAAGATGAAGATAAGAAAAGTAAGTCGAAAGAAATATAAAGTACGAGAAGAAAGAAAGGAAGAATGAGAAAATGGTGAGATTCAGTATAGCGTTGTTAAGATGAGGATAATGTGTGTATACATCTGCACCAATGACATCAGTTCTGAGCCATGCCATCACCTAGAGTCTCCAACTACTGGTTCCTCTTGTCCCGCGAACCCCAACCACCCAGTCTGCATCGCCCCCTCCCCTACGTGGTTTAAACCAACAGTCAGAGACTTCATACAGATGCCATGTTTCAGTCTGGCCACTTCAGGCCTGTTTCCTACTTCGGTCAACATTGTGTGTCGTGGCAATCGGTGACTAGGCATACGTAGTACGTGTCCCAACCATCAAGGTTCACAACATCGTCAACAGATTTACCTCTACTTCCTAAAGCTCTACACCTGACGTTTGAGTTACTCACGTGGTGACACCACGGAATACGTCCTATACTTTGAAGACAACAGTGGTCAAACATCTGAAGCCTTCTCATATCTTTCACTTTCAATGGCCATGTTTCTCAACCATATAGGAGAGCGGAACGGACTGCCGTGCAGTATACGCGACCCTTAATAAACAAACGGATATCACGGCAGCGCCATAGGTGGGGTAAGTTGGCGAAAGTCAATCGACCCTTTTGTATCTGTGCAGAGATTTCATCGGCCACTGAGTCACCAGGGCTGGTCGTACTTCCCAGGTAAGTGAAGTGGTCGACACACTCAACCACTTCACACTGTATTGTTGTTAGCCATGGCACCGCTGAAGACCAGTCCTGGAGCAACAATTTGCATTTGGGTGGTAAGAACCACATCCCAAACATTCTCAAATTCCCACTCAAAGTGTTCAGAAGACTCTGCATTTTGTCAGCGTATCCATTTGACAGGACTATGTTATTTGCACATTCTAGGTCTAACGAAAATTCTCCTGTGATTAGGTCAACCTCTGTGTAGTGAGGTGACTAGAGGGAGATCTCCATAAGAATATCTATAACGAAATTGAATAACGATGTAAACAGTGGGCATCCTTCATAGACACCACTCAGCATAGGCTCTAACATGCCCACAAGTGTTCAAGTAGAGAGCTTTCAATAACGTGATGTACTTACTAGGCACGCCTTTCAGTGACAGACATTGTCATAAGACTTCTCGATCAACGGAGTCAAATGCCGCCTTCAAGTCGAGAAATACAGCCAGTGTCGGGCGTCTGTAAGCATGCCTATGTTCCAGGACCTGGCTCATCCCTGGTCGACACCTCTGATAGGTGTTACTTTAGATGACAACTTCCTATAGGCCTTTACATAGCTGCATAAGTTCGAGTAGATGGCTTTTAATAGCATTACATACTTGCTGGACACTCCCTTTACATTTTTATTGATTTATATAGATTTATCGTACAGTGTAACAGCAGTATTTGTTAGATTACATTTTGGACACAACATATTATCCATAGCCGTATCATGATAACTAACCCTACAACTTTGAGATATCCTGTATATAGTCCTAATTTCCTCACTCCCTTTGTGATGACATGAGTAGTAAGATTTACCATATGTCCTGAACAAGTGCTGAGTTATTCCTGTCGCTGTGTATATTAGGTGTTGGTTAATTCGATAAACAAAGATTCACTTGCCACTCTCTCCCTCCACCCTGTTATGTTAGTTTGAAGCATTTCCATCCTGCCTCATCTGATTGTATGGTTGTATGGTATGCATAGCTATGGCTGAACTATTTTCTAAATTCTGAACCCTATCAGTTTCGGTGATGATAGATAATGACTAGCAGTAGAATCCAGGATGCCGCGTTTTATTTTATTTAGGATTAGTCAGTTGCGTGTACCTGCATCCCAGTGAGTGATGTTGTTCCTACAGGGATTCGGACTCGGGAGCGATCGCTTCAAACGCCACAGTGTTATCCACCACACCATCAAGTCAAGATAGCCACTTCTACTAATTTTCACTTAACTAAGTTGTGCTCGGATAGCCTAATTAACTAACCCCAACACTGGTCGACTACTTTGACTGACCTATATATTTGACCTCGCAATCGTTGCAAGGGATTCGGTAGACTAAGTTCTTCTGACTTATTGGGTCAATCTGATTGTTCAACCGATAAAGCTTATTTCGAAGTGAGTTTGTAGGTTTAAATGCCACTCTCATCCCAGTGGCAGCTTTATTGAGAATCCTACATAGTATTTCTCCGTTGCCTTGTTTGTATGGTAGGAAAACTGCAGAGGTTTTGAATTCTCTCTTCACAGTATTGCCACTACTATTATTAACATTATTATAACCACCATTATTACTACTATTAACATTTGTGTTACTGATATTTTTGTTCCGATTCCTAAGAAACTTATCAATTAATTTGGAAGGGTAATTTTTGATGAGTACAGCGTCTTTAATGCATTCGGTTTCTTATCTTAGATCATCTATTTTACTAGTAAGTTTTTTGGCCCTGTTACTAAGCCAACTTTTCCTGACTAAGGATGAGACGATTTAAAGTCTAAGTCATGAGTTGAATGTGATGGTTTTTTGCAGACACTAATGTCTAAACTTCTATCTTGTTTCCGTTTTATTCCATAATCCAATTTCGTAATAATCAGATACCACCACAATACCTCTACATTAAAGCCAATTGCTGCCTTCTGAACAGGAAATATGGTGAATTTCGTCCGCCAGAACCTGATAAAAAATAGAGATCGGATGGATGCATTTTCGGCCACACCTCAAGACCCCCTAGTTTGTCTAGTTCGTTGTTTCCAAGCCACAGCTAAGCATCATTAAACTATGGACCCCATGATCTTAGACGCGATGTTAGGCGTACTGGACCCTCCTGCTATCTATGAAAGAAGACTGCTGTCGTTTCTTGTAGACTAGAATAATCAATGAAGTAGACTACTCTGACGAGACTGTCTCTGACTACCATACACTCTGTACTAACTTTGTTAACCTACTGATTAATTTCTTACCTCCACCCGTAAAACCTTCAGGAGGGAAACACTGTCACATCACCTCAAGGTCAATACAGTCGAATGCCGCCTTCAGGTCATAAAATATGGTAAGTATCGGCCTTTGGTCGGTATGCATGTGTTCTAAAACCTGTTGGAGGACAAAAATATGTTCAATGCACTATCGCTGAGGACTTAAATCGAGTTTCCTATTCTCGGGCCCCAGTTAGGCGTTGCACAACTATAGACTCTAGGGTATTGGACACAAAAATAGTCAAACTAATTCTTTTATGGTTGTCTCAAGAAAATTTCTCCTCCTTCTTGTGAACCGGGATGATCATTGAAGTGGATCAGTCTGACGACACTGGCTCCGATTTCCTTACACTACATAGTGCCTAAGTCACTCTTATCAGTAATTTCCAACCTCGATCCATGAAAAGTTGAGGTGACAAACTGTCAGATCCTGTTGTTTTGCATCGTTAGAGGTTTGATACATTCTTCTCAACTTCAAGGGATGTTGCAGGAATGAAGTCGATGTTCCATTCAGGTTTGGGCTAGATATTTTCTAACGGAAGCATGGCTGTGAGCTAGTTGAACTATGCTTCAGTATCTCATTCAACTTTATCTGAGTACTATGCTTTTCGGTGATGTTCTCACTCATCATCGTCTTCTTACTAGTATCGTTAATAGGCATAAATAACTGAGAAGTGTGACAACTTGGACCGATATAACTATGTGCGACGTTCTACATTTATTTTGCCTGTCGCTGTTTTCTTCTTTCCGGTGTCACTAATAAGCTTAGGTAATTTTGCACATTACCCAAGGCTGATGCTTCCTTTTTCTCCTTCACTTTCACTACTCACCATCGCCCGCGATTATTTGGAAGACTCTTAGTCAATCTACGTTTAAACCGCTTTCGCTCTTCATTATGGTCAGAATCAGCTGGAATCAGTCTTCTCATCAATCAGTTGAAGTGAAGTTACTAAAATCTTCTGACGTTTACTAATCAACTGCCTTTACCACTTTTTTTCAATAAAAAACTGAATATTATTCTGTATACTCGTAAAGTGAATTTTGAAGATTCATCATACTGACTAGGTGAGGTCAAGTTAATGACCACAGTCAAGTTTTGTGTATATGTCTCAAAAAAGCAGTATATATCTGTGGTTCTAGACTGTAGAACGTTATTAAGCGATCCGATTTCACAGTGAGTTCGGACATTGAAGGGTTCAATATGAAAACGATAGCTACATTTTAGGAGACTAGGAATGATATTTCACTGGTTTAAATCGTTGGTAATATTCGTAGGATGGGATGGGGACGAATGTTGGTACCAAGATGTAAAGATAGGGGAAAAGAAAATGGTAAGGAAGGCAATTTATGGTTATTTGGGTTTGTATGTTGCTTGAAACGTTTGGGTTGTTGGTACCTCGTTTTCGCTCACATCATTGAAATTGTTTATCCAAGGTGCAGAAAAAAGAGAAAATGAACCAGTTACAGTGGCATCTGATCACTGAGATCGAAGTTACCTACTTGAGATTTATCACCTACAACAGAAGTTTATTTATTCAGAATACAGCTAGAAACTTCGTATCACCAACATAAGTCACCCTTATTTCTGTTACAGCTTGTTTAACCAACAGTACAACTTCACCCTCAAACGTCTCTCATAGTATAACCATTTACACTATGACGGTAATTGTTTTTTATCTAACCATTATCAAATACACCTTTTTTGGTATGATCGGACCTCAAGAAACAAATGTTCCTACCATCATAACCTGTTAGATGTTTAAGATAGGCCAACCGAAGCACCACTTCAACTTAACATCTATCAGTTAGGTACAAATACTCAAGTAGGAAACAACCAACGACAGTTTCATGTCACTCCTGACTTTATAAGTGTTAAACATAGACATTTTTAGCATGAAAACCATAAAATCTAATCACCATAGTAGTTGTTTGAAAGGATTTAAATCAAAGAGTCCAGATGAAAAGCCAAACTAGGATCAACTAAACATTCAGTGACAGTTATTTTCTAATGTTCAATATATTTTAACTACTACGAAGCGCTAAGTTATTCACGAATAGAATAATATTTGTCATTTTATACTGCGTAATGAATGAAGGTGAAATGAAAATTTAGACTGTGGAGGGATTCGAACCAGCGGCCACTAGGTTTCCGGCTTGGTGCTCTACCAGCTGACATACTAGGTCAAACTGCTGACCACATTTTTATTTCACTTCAGTCACTAAGGGTTTTGATTGACTACCCTCATAGCTCAGTTGGTAGAGCATTGGGCCGGATCATCTGATTTGCTTTACTGGTCACGCACGACTTCTCATTAGAACATCGACAAATCTTATTTGGATCATCATCATCATCATCGTTTGTCTTTCGGGTTCCTAGTGGAACATACGGCTTCAGTAGCACCTCGCCATTTCATTCTATTCTCTCCAGGCTTTTGAACCTGGCCCCACCAATTTCCACAAACTTTCATTTCTTCCTCATGCCATTACATGTCACCCTCAACTGGGACGCCCACCTCGTCGTTTTCTATTTGGCTTCCAATCAAGGGCCTGGCCTGGCGTGTGATGTCTCCGAGTAATTTTCTCAGTGTACGATCAATCCATCTCCAATTTCTTCTGCATATTTGTTGGGTGGTGGGTTCTTGGTCGGTTCGTTGCCAGGCCAGAGTTTCTCATTGCTCATTCCTTCCAGCCATCCCATCTTCAGTGTCAGTATGGTGTGAGAGTACGTCGCAGCTGTTGATGATGTTTGTGTGCAGTCTACTGGAAATGCTCTTCTTAACGTGCCAAGTTTCCCAACCATATAGAAGCAGTAACTTGACTGACATTAGTGTCGAAAATCCGGATCTTGTTCTCCATGCTCAGTGATTTCAGATCAATGCAGGAAGGCCTGTCTTGCTGTCTTTTCGATCCTGGCTTTGATATCCTTGTCTGTGCCACCCTTTGTAGTTGAAACGATGCTGTTTAGTCACGTGGATGAAAGAGACAACTACCTTTAGATTTCTCCTATTCATGGTGCTTAGTGCCCGTTGTTGTTTGCCTTTTTGCTTGACGATCTTCATAACTTCTACCTTCTCTACCTTCACTTGGAGTCCCATCTTCGCTGCCTCGCCTCTTCTGCTAACTTGTTAGTTCTGGCTTGTAGATCTTCGAACTGGTGTGTGACATTAGATATAAATCATCATCAGAGAAATCCAGATCTTCGTCTAGTGTCTTTTCATTGTTCCAGCGCATGCCCATCTCTTTCCTCACAGTTTGTTGCATGATCCAGTTGAATCCAGTCGACTACAATCATGAAGATCGTCGGTGATAGTAGGCGGCAAGCTTGTCTTACTCCTGTCGCCTGTCTTCACTTCAAAGGCATCACTGAGCTTTCATTGTGAGCTTCCATTGTGAATCACTCGGTATTTGGTATAGAGCTGGTGTTGATTGAGGTTGATAAAGGTTTGTAACACTAAAACCGTAGTGTTGATGCAGCTGCCAAATTACTTCGCTGTCGACGCTGTCAAGTGCCTTTTCAAAATGGATGAAGTTGAGGTAAAAAGTCAACTGTCATTCTATGCTCTGTTCTATGATGATGCTCAGCGTTGCAATTTGATTCCCGCCTATTCGGTCGTAATTTTGAATCCAGCGCATCATTTAGTCTCTCCAGGATGATGCGGAGCATAATTCCTCACCAGTTCTTGCAAAGACTTAGGTCGCATTTGTTTGAGAGTTTGACAAGGTAGCCCTTTTTGTTATCTGGAAGTATGTCAGTAATGAACATTCGACGGTAATTCGGTTTGAGGGAATTAATTTGTTTCAAGGTACTGTGCATAACAGGCAGACATCAGTTTGAAAACTATTCACAAAAGATGAAACGTTTGAGCTACTACATCCCATATTCCTACCCGGTGGTAACGTCCTCGCCATGAGACTTGAACGTCCTGATTTCAATCCCTAGATGTGTCATGGGTCCGTACTTTTGAGAAGTTTCACACTAGAACGAAACATTTGTCCGGTTTACTCAGATCATCAAAAGTTCAGTCGGGGATAAAAAAAAAAGTAAATACTCCCAAAATGGTGGGCTTGATTGCCTAAGAATTACACATTTCAATCCATAGTCAATATTCACACAGAGTTTACGGATGCCTACTGTTGAAGACTATGAAAACTCAGTGAAATAGACATCAGTAGTCAATGATTCTTAATCATCGTTCTTCCAATATTCTCTGCAAACAGTCTTGAAACTATAGTTAACAAGTAACACATAACTGGAATAAATACCAAAAACACCCGCTTACCTTCTGCATTAGGTTTTGGCAAACCAGCCATTATACGTTCAATTTGATCTAATGTAGATGTTCCAGGAAATAATGGTGTACCAAGAAGCATTTCACCTAGTATACATCCTAAACTCCATATATCAACACCTTTAGTATAATCATGACAAGCTAAAAGAATTTCTGGTGCACGATACCAACGTGTTGCAACATATTCAGTTAATGCAGGTAATAATGTTTTACAATTAATTTTATTACCATTTTCAAATTTATTTCGACCTTTCAATGAACGCGCCAAACCAAAATCGCATAATTTTACTAAACAATAAGAATCAAGTAGAACATTTGATGGCTAAAATAAAAGTAAAATTATGAAAGTGAAATCATAATGTTATACAATATATACGACAAAGAAAGATCGAAGGAATAAAAAACTTAGCCATTTGTTCAATGTGTTCAATGTTCAAAACTTTGTTTAAATTCACCAATTGACATAAACACTAGTTGAATGTATAGACTGGGAAATGTTTAAACCATACCATGTGCTAACAATCATTAAGAATCTTATTTCAATAAATATCATTTGAGAAGAGTGACAAGTTATGTACTAAACTAGGGGATGGTATAAAGTTTCGAGATTAAAAAATATTAGTCGGTTAGTTGAATAGCTTGTTCATTACTTTTGTGTTTCCACTTTTTGAGGAAAAATAAAAGTGAATGTTTTTCAATAAAAGTGGAAATATATTCTAGAAAGTACTTGAGTTATACTAGTCTAACTCTAGAGGTCAGTTAATTGACTACAAAAAGAACCAATCAGATTCCTCTATTTTTTTCTAAAACATGAGGGTAACGTTTTCGCAAAATAAGGAAACCCACTTCACTGTTCCAGTGGTTATTACTACTGAACAACTTGAGTGGTTAAAAACTAATCAAGCTGACCTGTAGATTTTGCCAGGTAGATCAAACTGATCTTAACACTGGATGGCGGTTTCCTTGAGTGGTTTGCAGTGAAGACATTGTGACACTAAACAGCTGGGCAGTTTATTGATTCATTTCAAGTTGGCATTCATCGTGGATTGATATCAGTTGGAGAAAAGCTGGAATGCTTGGAGCACTGTGCCCTCCTAGAAAGGGGCTCCCTAGCAGAGCGTACTAATGACCCCTCCTGGGGTCGAACTCAGGGCCTTCACATTATGTAAATTGGTCATCTCACTTTGGAGATACCAATCCATCAAAGTCGGGTAGCCAGAATCAGGTAATCTGAACTAATTTGGTTATAAGAGATGAATTTCTTCAAGTAAACCCCTTATGAAGTTGGCCCCAAACAACTGAAACGGCCATCCCGTGTTTACATCACTCCCAACTGCCTGACGAGATCTACAAATTTGTCTAAGTGATTCCTAACTATCCATATTCTTAAGTTGTAGTGACAGTTTTGTGTCAGTGATCCCTCCTTGTGCTCTTGGCTGAGTGGTCCCTATAGGGAGCCCTGTGGGCGCCACAGTTGGTCAGTTGCAAAATGTCAACATGGACCGCGCATAATTTGTAAATCATTTACAAAAGAATCCTCTTCACAAATGGAGTTGTGAAATGCATTCATATGAATGAGGATAATGCTTTATGAATCCTCAAATCAATTGGGAAAATATAGGTGAATAAGGTTCAAAGACGTAAGATACGAGTCTAGCGAGTGAGTGAATGAATATGGTGTGATTTCAGTGAAAATCAGTTGAGTAGTTGAAGATGTAAATATCAATCAGATAGAGTGTGATATGAAAGGGATCAAGAGAAGTGAAATTCCTATGAGGAACTCCTAAAATGGAACAATGTAGGAATTCCCTTTTCTAAGGTAGCATTCATCAAGGATGAATGTCAGTTGGGGAACAATTGAAAACCTGACATCATTCGATGGCTATTTCATCCTAGTATGGGAAACCTCAGCAACACACACTCACAAACTGTCTAAAGATCGAACTCACGACCTTCAGGTCTCACAGGGGATGTGTTAACCATTCACCAGTGGGTTGGAGTGCAATGGTTCACAGTTTCCAATTCGTCATATTGAGTGATTATCATCCAAGTTGTTTATTTGGCATCCGCTTCACTTCCAACTGGCTGAATCCACTAACCTCAAAATACATTGCTGTTTACTGATTATTAGTGATATGCTTTCAGATGGATATCACGAAGTACTGATGACAAGCCTTGACCTGTGAGGTCAACCAGTGGAAGGTGAAGTAGATACTGAATGGTTAACGCGTTTGCCATGAAACCTGAAGTTCCTGAGATCAATCCCTAAATGGGTCAAGGGTACATGCTACTGAGAAGCCCCACAATAGAATGAAACGCCTGTCCAGTGCTCCCAGATTCTCATTACTTCTATAAATTATGCCAGTTCTTCATGAATTCTATCTTTGATGCCAAAAATCCAACAACTATATGAAGACGCCACATGCCAAGTGATCCACTATGGAGAGCTCAGTCATGCCTTTAAAGTGAAGACAAGAGTAAGACAAGATTGCCTACTATCTGCCACAGATCATCTTCCTGATTGTGGTCGACTGGACTGGATCATCCAACAAACAGTGAGGAGCGAGGAGAGGGGCATACGCTGCCTGGACCGGGGAAAAGATTCTACAAGATTTGGATTTCCCCGATAACGATTTATGTCTAGTGTCACACAAACTCGAAGATCTACAAGCAAAATCAAACAAGTTGACAGAAACGTGGTGCAGCGAAGACGGGAATTCAAGTGAATATAGAGAAGACAGAGGTGATGATGATACCCAACCAGTACCACCAACACCAACAACGTAAATGAGGTTGTCTCTTTCACCCACACCTATGTAGGCAGGCAGCGTCGTTTCAACTGCAGCCAGCGGCATAGGCATAGACGACGATGTCAAAGCCAGACAGGATTGGAAAGACAGCAAGACAGACTTTCATTAACCTGAAACCAGTGTTGAGACCTTCTTCATTGCACTCAGCATAAAGCCTCAACAACATCCGGACTTCCAACACCAATGCCAGTCAAGTCAGTGCTTCTATGTGACGGCTGAGAGACTTTGCGCCTTACGAAAGGCATTTCCAACAAACTACAAATATTCATCAACAACTGCCACCTAAGCTGGCTCGTTACTGAAGCTCAGATGGCCAGAATAATAAGAATAAACAACAAGGAACTCGCTCTGACAACGAAACAACGAAGCAACAACCTATCACTCAACAAATATATAGTGGAAGGAAGTGGAGATGGATTGGGCATGCACTGAGAAGACCATTCGTGGACATCACGCATCAGGCGAGGCCGTCGAGTGGAACCCAGGTGGGGGTCGGCGAGTTGGGCGTCTGTGGCAGGAATGACATGGAGGAGATGGTGTGAGGAAGAAATGAGAGCTTGTGGGCAGTGGTGGAGCGAGGTTGAAAAGATTGGAGAGAAGAGAGTGTAATAGAGATGTACTAATGAAGCGGTATATTCCCCAAGGAACCCAAAGGACAAATAATAATATACTAAAGAAAATTTGAGCATATTTGGCATATATTTTGTACCTGCCGAATGTAAAATGATGCTTTAATACTTATCTGCAACCATTCTCAGTCTAACAATAAGGATTGAGGTGGTAGAATGTGTCTACTACTTCACTTATTTAAAGAGTTGCATCACCTCAAATGGGTTGGTTGCTTACATAATCTCAGTTCAGATACAAAAAGCCCGCTTGCCATTTACCGACTTGCGCCATCTGTTGCACCGACTGCTGAGATATTCAACTATCTATCAAACTATGAGTATGCTGCGCTACATTTTGCTCTGTCCTGTTATTCTGCTGTGAGAAATGCCTGTTGAAAGTAGAAAATCTGAGGTGGTTATAAGTTTTTGGTCATAGACGCCTTTGTAACATTGCTCACATTTTGTTGAATCACCTATACTAGACAAGAGAAGCAAGTTGATTGGTGAGGTAGTGAATCTTCGCCCCCTAAAATGGCTTGGAAACCGACTACCTCAACGTGTTATACAAGGGGAAGTTGGATTCAGGTGGAAGAGTGTTCAAGGTGGCTAGACTAAGACGTGTCACCAATCAATGAAGTCTCTTACTTGTTGGTCTGACTCGTGTGGAGAGTTGTAAACTCCCTGATGGGTGTCTTCGAGACGAAAGGAATCAGTGGTTGACAACTCTTGGTGACATGGCTGGAAATCGGTCACAATGACCCAGGAGTGTTCACTTCTTCACTGATATCTTATAAAGCTTGAATATTTGCATTAACCGTCATCTTCAAATTGTTAATAATCTTTACAACTTTATCTACTTAGATATCATTCGTTTTCTATCCTCCTGTTCTTTGTGAAGTATGGTAACTTCAACCGATGCACTTATATGCAAGGTTCTTCGTTGATTTTGCCCATCTGTCTGTCTGTCTGGATACCTACAGCCTCTACGATGCAAAGAATATGAAGATGTTTGACCTTCAGGAGATGTTTTTTTCATTTTATAAATAAATGTGAAATTCAATTCATTGGAAATATTATGACTAGTGTCAAAAATGTATTGAGTAACAACACTTTTGATAGATGCATTACCTCCTCTTTAGAAATATGCAAGATTGTAATCTTGGACTCTTTTGAATAAAACTTCCATCTAAGGTTCTCTTCCAAGGACAAATGAACCAATATACGTACATGAAATAGGTCAGATAAGATGATATACCCTTGAGCGAAACATAAATCGAAATGTGTTTTTTTTTTACTCAAATTCACGACATTATAGGGATATTCCGTATACATTTGCCACAATTTTGTCCTCTTCCTGACCTAAAGTCATGTCAACTTTGAAGCTTTTTATTTGGAATGTAGAAATGCCTAGAAATATACATAATCATGCAGTTGAAGGATAAAGCAGAAATATAAACTCCACCTTTAGTCATTACTATTACTAATATGATGTTGACTGGTGGAAGAATAAGACCAGTAATTATAAAAACACACATACACATACACACACACACAAGTATATAAACAATTTTCCAAGTAATTAGGGCCTTTTTAGGTGGTCCAAATAACCAGCCTAATGCCTGCATATACACCTAATCACTTCGAAGAAAACTTCGATTTTCTACTTTCATTTCATATGTTGATTGGTTGCGGCAAAAAAGGCAGCCAATAGAGAAGTTGTTTTCAGACCATGATTTATGCATGTACTGACGTGATAACTTGATTGGACAAATTCGAACTCGTACAACCAATCGGATTGGTTTATTTCTGGCTTCATTTTCTGAGGACTTCTAAAAATATATACATATATATACCATGTATTTACTGCTGATCTTAGAAACACTGGACAGTCTTTTGTATTCCGACATCGTTGTAGCTCAGTGAAGCAGAAGGAACCGAGTAAGGTCAGTCTCAACAGTATTCGGTTGAGGTACGCTATTGAGTCTCAGTATCATTATACCCACGCACGTAATTCCATTCGGTCACAACATGTATGCATGTATGTGTGCTTGTGTCGAATGTGTTGTCTGAATATACATACCGATTTCTATTTTCCTTTTTATCACCTTTAAATGTATGAATATCAAACAACAATTTGGAAAATTTTACAGTCCTGTCATAATTACTCGCAGATTACTGTTTAAAAAATGCAGAACCTGAGAATTAAAGTATTAAAATATAAATTTTCATAGTTCTCCTTTCTCTACGGAACCCCAAAGTATGGGTTACAATTCCAGTGGCATTCACTGTCTTGGGTTTCATCATCTACAGGCTTCATCAATCCCGATGAATAACTTTGAGTGACAATATTGCTAGGCCAAGGCGTAAATAGGCTGTTCAAACACCGACTAGGCATGGAAGAGATTATGTAAGCAGTAGAAGGTATGGCAATTTATATATTTATCCCTTAATAACTTATGTTATAATTTGCTTGTGGGTGCCCAGAAATGAAGTCATGGAGGGATGATTCATCGAGTGAGAGGTGGTGTTCCCACTCAGATTTGAACTTCGTAACCTTTACTTCAAACACCCTATCATTTTTTGTCTCATTTCATATCACAAGAGTCTAGTAGTATGACAAAGTACAATAGTTTTTGTAATATTTCCTGATGTTAGTGAAGACGGTTATGTAGCTTCCTTGAGTGCAATTAAATGCAGTGGCAAAAAATTCTCTTACAAAGGTTAACTACTTATAAGTAGCCAAAATAATATAACAAAATATTTTCAACGATTTACCTTCTGATCTCGGTGTATAACTTCACCTGAGTGTAAATAAGCAGTCGCTTTGAGCAATTGATACATAATGTATTGTTTATGTACATCATTGAGTATATTGCCTTTTTTAATTACATTATGTAAGTCTGTTTCTGTGATAAATGAACACGATACGATGGATTACTTCAAAATAACATTGAGCTTACCCATAAATTCAAATACTAAATATATATCCTTATCACTACTGGCACGTATTACATTGTAAAGACGTACAATATTTGGATGATTGCCAAAATTTTGGAGAAACGCAATTTCTCTGAATGTTCTCTATAATAAATGAATAAATATTGAACAAAAGAATATATTAAAAATGCGGAGTATATTTATAGATGAGCGTATGGATGTTCTAAATGATTTGCTCTTAGAGTCAGGGTTTTAGTTGGCGAACGTTTCAATGTCATACCAGGTAGAATCACTAGCACATCATAGTTTTGTAGTTGGACACCTCTTCGAGAAAACTAGAGGCAAAAAGTAAACCAAACAGATTAGGCATAATCCTACCAACTCACCAATCGACCAATCAAATTCAACTCAGACAAAGTAGCATGTTATAAATAACCATTCACAACCAATTATTTCACTCCTTTGTAAAACTTTGATGTACTAATGTCAACGTTTAAAAACATCTTCTAAATTAAGCCATAGTTCACAGAATAACTGAATCCTTAGGACTACATATGAAATTTAAAACAAACAACAAAAGTGATTAAAGCAGGATTCTACTGAATTCATAAATTTCAGTACAACTCTACATCTTTTTAACTACACATACATGATTTTATATACTGTTGTTCAGTAAAGCAATTCATACATGTACACGTAATATATCACATTAAGAGATTGACTGAGACATGACAACACGGAATGAATCATTTAGTTATGTCATACAGTACTAAGATTTGGTTAGGAGGGGGGGGGTAATGAATTGATAATGGAAAATAAAAAGAACTAGGATTGGATTACATCATTTTGAACAGAACACTTAGTAGTCAAGTAGATGGCTTGTTAAAGGTGCCCACTAAGAGAACACAAGTGTTAGGTAAACAAAAATATTGATTATAGTAGTAATAATACGAGTGAGTGACAATAATAATGATAACAATGAGAATATGAATATTGAAAAGATTAGAAGATTATGTCATTTTGAAACAAGGTAAATGAGCATATCAATTAAGAAGCTTGGTAACAGTATAAAACTAAAGGAGGCTAGAGTAATAGCTGGATGATAACAGTGATATTGACAATGGAGATAAGTCATTTGACTAGTAAGCGAAGAAGTTCAAGAGGATATGATAGTACAGCAGAATGATAGTGAAGACGTGAATATACGAAGTATAAGAAGAAATAAAAACAAACAGGTTCAAAATACTTCAGCATCTCTACCATGGTTGATTCAGGGTGACTACCATCTCTTTCTGTACACAAGCTTGGTTTACGGGCTTTAATCGCACATACTTCCACACTTGCAAAGCATTTTCTTATTCTGCTGTCTGCTGACAACCGAGAAGGTTTTAATGGTGTCAATATCATGTCGATAATCCATTAGGTGTTTCATAATCAAACTCTGGGGGGGAATTTTGGCTTGGCTTGCCTCAACCATTTAGGTTAATGCTTAACCATGCGGGTAGACAAACGCCTTTCCATACGACCTATGTATTTGCTCCCGAAAGTACATTTAAATTGGGTTTGTTGCTTGTTTTGAATAATTATCTGATCAAATTCATTAACAAAATAGAAAATTATTGAATTAAATCATAAGACAGACTACTCCTAAATCATGGACCTTAACAATAGTGATTCCTTACAGATCATATCCATTGAATGAAATTAGGAGAATACTCAATAAATACAATATCAGAGTGTTCTACAGAACAGAGCACCTCAGTTCATTTGAAGGATGAGATCCCTGTAGATTTACAATCTAATTATGTTTATAAAATAAAATGCTCAGACTGTGATACAATATGCAGTGGACAAACTTCACGTGACATCGAAATTAGAAAAAAAAATAAACACCGAAGAGCTTCTACCTGATCCTCTAGAAATCCAGTGGAAATGAAAAAACACACTTGAAAACACATCAGCCATAGCTCTACATTCTATAGTTTCAGATGACAAGATCGACTCATCGACAATATCGAAGTTATTTTTAAAAGGCACCTTCAGCAATTATAATGAACCTCTCCTAGCAGAATCTCTTCATATTGAATGAAATCAAAATTGTTTAAATAGCAATGAAGGAGTAAAATGTAGTTTGATCTGGTCTCAACCCACCCACATAACCATCCTACATACGATAAGAACTCTCAGGAGCACATATATACATACAAATCTCAATCGGTAATTCACACACATACACACACACAATACACTACATATGGATACCATCTTAATTCGATAGTTCCGAGGACACAGAATCATTCATACAGAAGAACACTTATCATATATAGGCTTAAGGGATATTGTAAACTTCATTTTACTATAACTTTGATAAAGCTATCAGCAGGATTAAGTAGTATAGCGAAATATCAGTTGAAACATTTTTTACATTCCCATTGGGCAATACAAATAACCTAAATGATGTTTATTTCAACGTGTTCACCGTAAATTGTATCTCATCTTGTATTATTACAGCATAATATGGAAAATTAACTGTGTTAGAGTATTGAACTGAGAAATTCTGTCGAAACTTATGAATTATTTATATCCTACTTCCTACAGTTTTATTGTTGGTCATTAAACTAGTGCTAGGGAAGAAAAAATTTCAATATCTGTAACTATGATTACTTAGTTTTCCAGTTACCATATATATTAGTATAGAGAACAACTGTACATGTATATGTATATTGTGTTATGCTCTATGCGATTATTTTAGAATGAATATGTGAAACAAATTATGACAATTGAATAAGTGAACAAAAAGAGTATATAATGTTCGATTGTGATAGGGAAATTCTGAATCTATATTTTGTGCTTGTTAACCCCTTGATTGATAAGCTTCGATCAATGACTAAGCACCCAGGGATTAGAAAGCTAAATTAGTCATTCATTGCCTATTAACATCTATAGATTCAATGATACTTAACACATCAGTCTTATATATTATCGAGTGATTTTGGTGAGACATCTAGGTCATCCTAAACTATATTGATATTATTGTTATTATTATCATTACTATTACTGTATTATATTGTTATTTATTTTAAGTATTTGATGTATGTAATAACTACCGTCTGTCATTCTATTTTTGGAGTTATGGCTTATTGATTTCAAGTGATGATGAATTCGACTGATTACTTTATTACTTCTCAATAATACTCTGTGTATAGAATTCAATTGATTTCGGGTTCGAACCCTACTCCACCTACTAAGGTTTAGGTCAGTAGGTATTATAGTGAATAACCCTCATAAAATATGTTAGGCTCATTGACACCTACTACACAAACTTGTACATGATTACTGAGTGTTTAGGTTAACTTGTGTTTATTAACCAACATATTGTTTTCTACATTTTTTAGTTTGGTGGTCGACTTGTCACCTTTTCATCATTAACTATCCTTTCATCAAAACGTACTCGTACTCTTAGTTCCTTCTTTCCTTGACTAGAGATAATGATCTTATAAATCACGTTTAAATCATTTTTAAATATTTCAGTAAATCTTATCATCCCTTCATTAGAATATCAACACTGTCTTCAAAGAACATACATCTTACCTGTGCATCAGTTTGATTACGAAATGCATCAAATATTTTCTTTAATGCAATAATCTCTTTGGTTTTTCTATTCAATGCCTTCCAAACAATTCCATAAGCCTAAAATAGATGAAAAGATGATATATGTAAGATTACATTGATATTTTCCCCCCTTAGTGGAACATATCGCTTCAGTAGTACATCTCTATTACACTTTCTTCTGTGCAATCTTTTCAACCTGGCTCCACAACTGCCCACAAGCTTTCATTTCTTCCTCACACATCATCTACTCCATGTCACTCTTATCTCGGACGACCAACTCGTCGTTTCCCATTTGCATTCCACTCCAGGGCCTGGCTGACGCGTGATATCTCCAGTCGGTCTTCTCAGTGTATGTCCAATCCAATCCATCTCCACTTTCTTCCTCTGCACATTTCTTGGGGGATAGGTTCTTCGTTGGTTCGTTGCAAGCCAGAGTTCTTTATTGCTTATTTTTATTATTCTGGCTATTTGATCTTCAGTATGGAGTAAGCGTATGCAGCTGTTGATGAATGTATGTAAAGGGCGTATATTCAAATTCGTATGTGTGTCATTTGAAGAACAAAACGGCACTAAGATGATGCTTCTTTTTGCAATAGGTTAAACAATATCCTCTGACATTAATCAGTGAGTATCATTATCAGCAGAGAAGTTTCGTTGCTCAGTTGCCGGGAACCCAGTAGTAAGCTGGTTTGAATTCTGCCATGGGTCAGATTTTTATTTCACATTCAGTGATCATCTTGGATTAATCAGTAAACCAAGAACTGCAGTATTCCAACTCACTGGAACACATATTAATGATGGGTTGGGGAATCTAAGACGCATGTTCCGTCTTATTTGAGACCCGTCAACTGAGTGTGCCTGCCTTCCAGTGAGTGATGCTCTACCCACCAAGGTTAGAACCCATAGCTGACAGTTCAAATTGCCACTAGATCACTGAGTCATGATAACCACTTCTTATGCAACGAGAATAATTTTGCATGTATACTGCTTATGATTTCCTAACATCCACTAGACAGAACTTATCGGTTCCTATTAGCGTACGGGCACCTATGCAGATGCCTTGATATTCTCTGTGTTTCACAATTTAGTTCAGTCAACGACATAATCCCTGTAACATAGTTAGACAAATATTAGTACTGACAAATCATTAAGTCAAATTTACATCAGCTTATGGATCAGTGAAAACATTAGGATAATGAACACTAGTTTTGTTACTGTACGAGGCTCATCAACAATTCGCCTTCATAGCCCCAGCGTGAAATTGAGGACAGGATTATGAGGTGTAGTGAAGAACACGTTACCACTCAGCTAGTGAGTTAGAATTCAGTAGTCGGCACCTTTTTTCAACTTCAATCAATTCTCAATACATTATGACTTTTACACAATCATATCACTACCAACTTGTTTCATACTACAGGTCACGAAATCCAGGTAATTCTTCTACATAATAAAAGGTATCTTGAAATCTATAAAATCCCTGTACAATCCAGTTTCAATTATATTTAAATTCTGACTTGTTACCACATGAATTTTCTGAGATTCTAATGAGAAGTCATCAACTGTGTAGTCAGCTGAATCAGGAGTTGGGGGTGAATGCCGCCTAATGATACCTAATGATGGTCGCGACAGAAGAAGAAAAAAAGATGAATAGTTCACTTCTGATTCAGTTAATTAATGATAATACACCTCTTTAAATGATCTCACATTCAATCCCTCCAAATGTCAAATGGTTCATCGTAGTTTATGATATGAAAAAGACCTTTGCATATTGTTTCAATCCCATGACTCTTGTCTTGTAGTTAGCTGTGTTATAGAGAATGTAGAAAGTGTTATGCACTTTAGCTTATGCTTTTCTTTTGATCTTTCTTGGTCTCCTCACATTTTACTGATTTCAAGGAAACTTAGACTGTCTGATATAATTCAGCTTCTACTCTTACGTTCCATCAATTCCTGTGCTTGTTTATGCTACGCTGAACTGAGAAGGATTTTAAAAGCTGTTAATAGGGCATTAATGAAAGCGGTTGCGGATAGGCATCTGAATTCTTGTAGATAGCTGGCTAAAAATATCTTATCCAATGACAAGTATGCTTTAGCGTCTGTACCTGACTCAATGTCTGTTCGAAGGGCAGTATATATGTTAAAGTCTATGCACATACAACTGCATACAAAAATTCAACTGTACCACCTTACTTAACATGTGCAATGTGTGAAGAAAATTATGTTGGGCATAGTCTTATCAATCAACAATTGTGCAATAGAGAATAGTTGTCATATCCCTGAGGTCATCAATCATTTCAATAATCCTGTTGTTCGTTACTCTTTATTAAATATTGTCAAACAGTACCATTGTTAATGTCTTGGTTGTATTGTCTTCTTTGAGCTACCTCGGTTGCTTAATCGTGAAGCTTTCATCGTCTTCCTACACAGTGACATCATCAGCAATAACTTCAGTATGAAGTGAACTGTCAATATCTCTCCGTGAGTGATTAAGTAGATTGCCCTGACCAACTGGTTTGTGATTGGTTGTTTCCTTCGATTGTTATGTCATTGATTGTATAGACTTTCCTGTTGACTGTTCCTCTGCTTGACCTCTGACCTTTGGGTGGACATCAAAGAAGAAAGGCTACCCACGAAACTTTATCTCAAGATGCCTATCCCGTTCATCACCGACACAAATCAACAAATGTATCACCCTACCATACATAAAGAATATATCAGAAATCATGACAAGATTACCCAGACCATTTCGTGTATTCGGTGTGGCTCATAAACCAACAAATTCCCTACAAACACTATTATCCAGACCAAAAGATGCAACAATCAAAGAAGATAAACTGAACAGCCCTTACAAAATCAACTACAATAGCTAACTGTAGTCAACACTACATTGGACAAAGTGACCGTCCTCTTCACCTTCGTTTACATGAACATCAATTGGCTATTAAACGTCACGACATTTCATCACTCATTTCAATAAACGCTGATGACAACTATGGACATGAATTCAATTTCGACAGTGTAGAAATTTTGAAGACAGAAAGGAAGCACAAAGAATTCCACAGAGAATTCCTAGAAGCTTGGCATTTAGGCCAGTCAGTCAACAATCAATAGATGTATATACATGAGAGACCTAATCTATCAAGCAATGAGAGAAATGATGGACGACAGGAAGGTGATAGGTGAAGCAGAGGAACAGGGAACAGGAAAGTTTATACAATCAATGACACAACAATCAAAGGAAACAACCAATCACAGTTCACTTCATACTGAAGTTATTGCTGATGATGTCACTGTCTAGAAAGACGATGAAAGCTCAACGATTAAACAAGTCGGCCAGCTTAGAGAATACAATACAACCAAGACCATCTCTATCTCAGCTACAAATATTCTCCATTATTCCATTGTTAATGTTTTAAAATGTTGTAATATGGGTAAATTGATGTAATAACATACATTGAGGATTCTGTACTGTAAACAAAATTATGACGCAGAATAAAGCAAGTATATTATTATTATTATTTAAAACAAGCGTTAAAGAGCATACATACATACATATATAACGTAGACTGAGACAGATTTAGGTGCTGATTGGTGACTAGCTTCTAGAGGTAGTCCCGAAGTTCCAATGAGAAGTCGTGACCGGTGGGTGTAAAGCCTGATGGTCTTGAGGACAGTTACTCAACGATGACATTGGGTGGTGGTTGCGCTATATTTTGAGCTCATAGAAGTTTGAAATACGGAAGAATGGATTGTGACCCAGTGGTTCAATGGTAACGTGCTGGTCACGGAACCTGAAGTTCACGGGTTCGATCCCTGTTGGGGTCGGTGTGGACGGCTGAGGAGTTCCGTGCCAGTGGGGTGGAACAGCTATCCAGTGCTCCCAGGTTTCTATTGTTCCTCCAACTGATATCAGTCTACGATGAATAACAACTTGAAAGGTTTAGGTGTAACAACGTATAAGTGAACAGTTTTTACGGGTCAAAGGGTAGAAATGGATACTCAACATTGAATGGGTTGGGGATAAGTTAACTGAGTTTGGATAATAGTGGGTTTCAGATAGGAAAATAATGATAATGTCGACACAAGGGTGAGAATTGAATCGATTGAGCATCGATCATATCATCACTGAAAAGAAGATAGGAAATGGTACTACTTATGCAGACATAAGAAAACCAGGTGATTAATCATGATAACATTGGTAATAGGAATAAAGTTAATTAGGTGAAACAAATCAGGGAAGGAAAATAAAATATGAGATGGGTGATAATTAATAGCGAAGAGTAGATAAATAAGAAAGATTGAATATGATTCGACAATATTGTAACTCCTACCATAGCAGATTCAAGCTGACTATGATTTCCTTCTGAATGCAGAGGTTTAATTTGACAACTCGAATCGATCAGGCTTCTACATATCCAAGTGACTTAAAGGTACCAATATCATGTCCATAGTCCATTAGGTGCACCTCGAGGTCTTCTTCTCGGCATGCTTCAACCATTTCGGTAGGTGCTCAACCATTCGGGTGAACAGACGCCTATCCGTACGACCAACGTATTTGCTTCCATAGGTATATTCGAATTGATATATGCATTTAGATGTATCGAGGATCGGAGTCCTGTCTTTCTCTGATTGCTGGTGCTGATAAGAACGAGTTTAGCTGCGTAGTAAGTCCTCCTGATAGACTTCTCCAGTCTTTGTCTAACTACCTCTAGTATGTCATCACCTTTGAATGACAAGGTGACAGACTGAATTTTTCTGCACTGCTGGGGACGTTGTTCTGCTTCCAATCTATTTTACGTGCTTATTGATAAAGATCTCTGGGTACCAATTCTTCACCAGCACATGTGCTGTCGGAACAAATTTTCCAGGCTCTGTTACACAGCGTTCTAACTACATTCACTTTGTATTGTATCAGGCCAAAGCTCCTAAAATTATTATTATCATTAAGGTATTTGGCTGGATACTTCGTGAAGAATTCCAAACGGGAAAGAAATTGATGTTCAGTTCTTCAAAGTTTTTAGTGGTTCTCTAAATGATGTCGATTCGTGATGAAAATTAACTAACCACACAAAACTCGA